AACCATAGACTAATAGAGACCCGTAGACTCACATAGAGACCCAAAGACTCACATTGATACCCATACATCCACACTGAGACCCATAGACTCACAGAGACCCATAGACTCACAAAGAAACCCATAGACTCACATAGAGATCCATAGACTCAGAGATCTATAAATTCTCACAGAGGCCCATAGACTCCCACAAAGACAGATAACCGAAGTGGGCTTATCATTACGCAGGCATTGATAATCTAAACGCACGTTTCTAAATGTGGAGGGAAAACCCATAGAAAAATCCACGCGACCACGGGGAGAGAGAAAGAGAGACACGCAAACTCCAAATATACAGCAGTAAGCGTCAGGGTCGGGATCGAGCCCACGACCTCCGTATACCAAGCGAGGTAGTTAACATCTCATAGTCACCGCGGCACCCCCCGAACCTTGCCTCGAGGGAGAGGGGGGGAATCTCTAATCATCATCACGGTGGCTAGAAGATGTTAACTACCTCGCCTGGTGCACAGGAGGTCGTGGGCTCGATCCCAACCCTGATGCCTGCTGCTGTATATTTGGAGTTTGCGTGTCTCTCTCTCTCATCATCATCACGGTGGCTAGGAGATGTTAACTACCTCGCCTGGTGCACAGGATGTCGTGGGCTCGATCCCAACCCTGATGCATGCTTGCTGTATATTTGGAGTTGGCGTGTCTCTCTCTCTCTGTACCCGTGATCGCGTGGGATTTGTTCTCCAGGTCCTTCGTTTTATTTTTTCCACTTCCGCATTCAGAATGAACATCACGCGTTTAGAGTATTTGGCTGCTATAAATGTGCACATCATGATGATGTTGATAAGCCGCGTTGTTGAGTCATCATTTGTGAAAGCCAGGTCGCGGCTAAGAGAAAAGCTACACAGCTCTCCAAAGTGTATCTATAAAAGTGCGACATATCAGCTCAGTGGGGCATTTACGTGGGACAATGAAAATGGTAAAAGCTACAGGTGGGGTGTGGAGGGGGGTTTAAAACTAACGTAAAGCCACTGACGCAACCATCACCCACAACCCATCCACCACCCACCTACCAATCGACCCACCTACCAACCCACTCACCACCCACCCACCAATCCACCCACCCATCACCCACCACCCACCCACCACCCACCTACCACCCACCACCTACCACCCACCCAACAACTTACCCACCCACCCACCACCCACCAATCATCTACCACCCACCACCCAACTACCACCCACCCACCAACCCACCCATCTACCACCCACCACCACCCACCACCACCCACCACCACCCACCCACCCATAAACCGACCAAACAACCCACCCACTTACCAACCGACCCACCACCGACCCACCCACCAACTCTCCCACCACCCACCCATGATGAGAGACACTCAAACTCCAAATATAGCAGACGCCAGGGTCGGGATCGAATCCACGACCTCCTGCATACCAGGCAAGGGAGTTAACATCTCCTAGCCACCGTGGATTGAGGAAATGGTGAGAGTTACCCACGTGTTTAACCCCACCGCGGCGACGCGACCTGTCGATTGCAAATGAACTGGTGGTGATGGAATTCGTGAACACTGCTGGGTGGACTGAGTTGGAGGCTGCGGCGGAGGTGGTGGTGAAGATTTAACCAGCTTGGAATGCTCCTTCAGTTGGGTTGGCGAATTGGGTCCTGGGTCTTGTCCCAAGGTCTAGGTGTGTCTCTCCCGCTCAGGGAAATTCATAAATGGCCATGTCGGAGACATGAAGCTAGCATAGCTGAGATCTTGAGGGTTTGAGCTCTGGGTCTGGGTGTCTCTCTCTCATACACGATTCATAATGGCCATGTCGGAGACTCTGAACCAGCACAGCTGATATCATGGGAGTTGAACCCAGGGTCTGGGTGTCTCTCCTTCTCTCTCTCTCACACACAAACAGGGGGTTTATGATGGGCGTGTGGGAGACACCAGTAATTAAATTCGGAATTTTAAAAGTACTCCCGTAAAACGTCGCTGGCGCGCGCGTGTATGTGTGGTGTGTGTGTGCATGTGTTGAGGAAGTACTGAATGCGATCCAGAGTCTAAAACCAGAAAAGGCACCGGGCAGAGATGATCTCCCAAGCGAAATGCTGAGAGGAGGGTGGCGTTTGTGCACAGACTGCCCTACATGACGTCATAACAACAGTCTGAACCACTGGACGGGTTCTGCAGGACTGGAAGGATGCCCTGGTGGTCCCCCTCTTTAAGAAGGGGGACCGCACAGACTGTAACAGCTACAGAGGCATCTCACTCTTCAGTGTACCGGAAAAGGTCCTGGCAAGGATTATTCAACATCGCCTTGCTAGGCACGCTGAGGAGAGGCTTGCGGAGCCCCAATGCGGTTTCAGGAAAAGCCGGTCCTGCACAGATGCCATATTTTCTGTCCGTCTGCCACAGCAGAGGTGTCGGGAATTCCAACAAGACCTACAGCTTTGCTTTATTGACCTGGACAAGGCCTATGATACCATCAGTAGGCCTGGGCTCTGGGTTGTTCTTTGTGCTTCCGGAGTCCCTGACTCTCTGCTCACGATCATTAAGGACCTTCATGATGGTGAGCGGGCCCGGGTAAAACTACGTGGCCGGGAGTCAGAGCCATTCCCTGTACACCTTGGGGTGCGACAGGGATGTCCTCTGGCTCCCACATTATTTAACATCTATTTTGACCACGTAGTTCGTGAAGCCTTCAATAGCTGTACCGGGGGATTTTCCATTTGGTACAGATATAATGGGAGGCTGATCGATGCCCGGGTGCGGTCAAGGGATGGTTCCCTATTGGTCAACTACGTTATGTATTTTTTTCGTTCATGAGGCGATCCACATATACAAACACAGAGACAATTTCAACCGAGAAGATGGATTCTGGCTTAGCAATCATTGGAAGGACGTAATAAACCATTTCGGATCTTAACTGATTGTGTTCACGTTAACGGTGACTTTCAGACCGCGTTCCACTCACTGGCATGGTGCAGTGTGCAGAGTAATGTATGGTGTCGTAATTGTACAGTAAACATATAGCAGTATGATACACATTAGGGTGGGTAGAATAATACATAGTGTTATATTAAAATGGATAAGGCAGCAACTGCAGCAGCAGCAGCAAGTGCAGCAGCAGCAGCAAGTGCAGCAGCAGCAAGTGCAGCAGCAGCAGCAACTGCAGCAGCAGCAGCAACTGCAGCAGCAGCAGAAACTGCAGCAGCAGCAGCAACTACTGCAGCAGCAGTAACTACAGCTCCCTTTGATGCTGTTAATCCTGCATAATGCACATGCATATGCAGTACTAATTACATTCCTGCATTTCCCATAAATATGCTAAATTCCTGTTGATATGCAAATTCCTTTGTCAATGCGCCCAGCTTATATATATGCTCCAAGCCCGTGTGCTGTTTCATTCAGACTCTGTCGCCTCGACGGACCTGGTTTTCACCTGAGGACGGCTGCTTGCGTTGTGGCCGAAACGTCGTGAGAATTGTTTTATTATGTTTTATTTTTATTATTTTATTACTTCCCTTCTACGTGACTTTACCGAAAGAACCAAGAAGATACGTTATGTATGCCGATGATTTGGTAATAGCTGCTCATTCAGAGGAGGAGTTGGAGACGCTGCTGCTGAAACTGGAGATTGCCACTAAGAGGTGGGGCCTTACCATGAGCTGCACCAAAACTAAGCACCTGCCTGGGTATTTTGTACCATTGGATACTCGACGCCTACAACTCCCAAACGGTGATGGAGCAGTTGTGAAAAAAGTGGACAGTTTCACCTACCTGGGCTGTGTGCTCATGACCGGCTCCGGTTTAACATCAGAGGTCTCACTCCGAATCAGTCGAGCGGCAATATATTTTCATTGGTTGCGTAACGCTGTGTGGAAACTACCTGGTCTGTCGCTCCGCAAGAAGCTTCAGGTCTTCTCGGCCACGGTCATCCCCCCCCCCCCCCCCCGGTCTATGCTTGCGAAACGTGGATCCCCCTAATGGAGCATCTTCGCCAGTTAGAAACATTTAGGCTGGCCTGCCTACGATCCATTCTGGGTTTATCCAGGCTGGATTGTGTGAGGAGCTTACAAATCCTTGAAAAATCTAGGCAAAGTCCCATCGGTGAGCTCCTCCGGCAGGCAAGGCTGCGTTGGCTGGGTCACATAGCCCACATACCCAGCCACCGCATGCCTAAACAGCTTTTGTTCGGCTGGATAAAAGGGGCTAAACGGGCGCGGAACGGGCTAGAGAAGAGATGGAGTTATGTGGTACAGGAGGACGTGGAGCTGAGTGGACTTGGCGATGACTGGTACCAGCGGTGTCAAGATCAGCCTCCGTGGAGGAGGCTCGTGAAGGACGCTATTGGGCAGTTGGAGGCAGTCGCCCTCCAACAACAAGAGGGCGGAGGAGCGACGCTCACAACAACGAGCAGAACGCCGGGTGGCTAAAGCACAGCAAGTTGGCACAGTAGGGGGCACAGGTGGTGCATCAGCCAGCCATCTCGGTCATCTCAGTCAGTCGACCTGTGGCACCTGGGTCTGCCCCATGACCTCCTGCCAGCGGGCGTTCGACACTTCACGTGGCCTCAAGGTGCACATGGCCTGGCACAAGCGTCGTGGTGACGTCACCGTCACTTTGTGGTGAATGGCGGTTGTTGTTGTGCATGTGTGCGTGTGTGTGTGTCTGTGTGTGGGGAGCGGTAGTGTAGTGGTTAGCACGCTGCGCTACGAACCTGGAAACCCAAGTTCGATTCCCGCTCACGGCCAACCCTGGTGACGATTATCTGAACCGGTACTGGGCCTCCCCTGGGTCGACTTAACCGGAAATGAGTACCTGGTGCGGTGTGTAAAAACATCGCCACTGGGGAGACAAAGGCGGCCGGGCGTGGTGCTGGCCCACCTCACCCCCTCGTGTACCGTTCCGCCCTTCATAGGTTCTCGCTAACACCACTTGCCCCAAGAGTCCGTTGCAGGCTACACGGGTGGATCTTTGTCTTTTGCTCTGTGGACTCACCCAGCGCTCGGCTGCTCACCATCGACCGCCGTCGCTTCGCCTCGCCTCCTCTCCTGCTGCGAGGCGAGAAACACACGGGGCACTGGGGTCAGCTGCTGAGTGCGGCGGTCGTGGGATTACACAGTCGTCGCCGTCGTCATCATCAACCAGCCAGAGTCAATCCACTGCTAGATTGAGACCTCCTGCCCGAGCCTCCTTCACCTCCCTCATCATCAACCAGCCAGGGTCAATCGATTGTTGGATTGAGGCCTCCTGCCCAAGCTTCCTTCACCCTCATCATCAAACAGCCGGGTGTCAATCCATTTCCTTAAAACTGCATATCCTTTAATTAAATTTTCACTTAAAGCTTTCGTGACTTCAGGGATTCATATTCTTTGGTTCTTTCGGTAAAGCACACTCACTCGCTCACTCACTCGCTCGCACACTCACATACTCACTCACGTGCCCACTCACTCGCTCGGACACTCACACGCTCACTCACTCGCTCGCACACTGACACGCTCACTCACTCGCTCGCACACTCACTTACTTGCTCGAACCCTCACATGCTCACTCACTCGTTCAGGCACTCACACGCTCACTCACTCGCACACTCAATCACTCGCTCGCACACTAACACGCTCACTCACTCACGAACTCACGCACTCTCTAACTCGCTCACTGACTCATGTACGTGGCCACGTGATTGATGAATCGCAAAACTTGTGGGAAGTGGCTGGGGGTTTGGGAGTGGACGTACCTGGTGGTGCTGGAAGACGTCACGTGGCATGTTGGACATCGCTCTGCAATGACAAAGCAAACCAGAGCTTCGTTAGTCCCCCTGAGCGGCGTTCGTCCCCCCAAAGCAGCAGCACCCGATGAAGGCCGGCAAACTGTGGCACACGAAGGGGTTCGATCCCAACCCCAGACGCCTGCTGCTGTATATTTGGAGTCTGCGTGTCTCTCGCTCATCATAATCATCACGGTGGCTAGGAGATGTTAACTACCTCGCCTGGTATACAGGAGGTCGTGGGTTACGATCCCGACCCTGACGCCTGCTGCTGTATATTTGGAGTTTGCGTGTCTCTCTCGCTCATCATCATCATCACGGTGGCTAGGAGATGTTAACTACCTCGCCTGGTATACAGGAGGTCGTGGATTCGATCCCGACCCTGACGCCTGCTGCTGTATATTTCTAGTCTGCGTGTCTCTCTCTCATCATCATCATCACGGTGGCTATGAGATGTTAACTACCTCGCCTGGTATACAGGAGGTCTTGGGATCGATCACGACCCTGACGCCTTCTGCTGTATATTTGTAGTCTGCGTGTCTCTCTCTCATCATCATCATCACGGTGGCTAGGAGATGTTAACTACATCGCCTGGTGTACAGGAGGTCATGGGATCGATCACGACCCTGACGCCTGCTGCTGTATATTTGGAGTTTGCGTGTCTCTCTCTCTCTCTGTCCCCGTGGTCGCGTGGATTTTTCTCCTGGTTCCTCCCGGGTTTTTCCCCTCCAACATTTAGAATCAACGTCACGTGTTTAGCAAATATTTGGCAGCCGCTATGAATTTCGACACGGCGATGACGACGATGTTAACAAGCTCAGTTTCGTTGGAGATGTCATTCGTTGATAGCCAAGGTCGCTTCTGAAACAAAAGGAGCAATGGAGCCCCTCGGTAGCGAGGCCCTTACACTCTGGTGCATGAATAAACACATTCCTGCGGAGGGAGCTGGTAAGAACGTTGGATTGCTCGGTCAATGGCCAGAGTCAACGGCGGCGTGGTGTATTCCGCAAATATGCCCGACTGTGAGGGCGGGCACAAGCCGACGTGAGTAGGTTAAACGTTGAGTTTTATAAGGTCACCACGGGGTGACCAGCCCCTCCCACCCAGCCCCACCCCTCCCACCCCCCACCCAGCCCCACCCTCCTCACCCAGCCCCTCCCCACCCTCCCCACCCAGCCCCTCCCCACCCTCCCACCCTCCCCTCCCCACCCAGCCCCACCCTCCCCACCCAGCCCCTCCCTGCACGACGGACACAATAATCCCCTGTGGGCTGGTGTAACTAGGAGGTTCCTACCAGTAAACAGTTTTTCTTTCTAAACCAACGGGGAGGAGAACGGCGCCATCCATGATCCTCTTGGACCGGCACTGCCCAGAATTCGGGAGCGAAGCCACCGTCCCAACTCTCGTCGATTCACCGATTGATGGTCCACCACTGGCTCCATTCATTCATTTACTCACTCCAGTCGCTCGCTCCATTCATTCACTCCAGCCACTTGCTGCAGTCATTCACTACAGCTGCTCGTTCACTCGCTCTGTTCTTTCACTCCATTCGCTCGCTCCAATGATTCACTCCAGTGACTCCCTCGCTCGCTCCATTCATTCACTCAATTCACTCGCTCGCTCCATACATTCACTCCAGTCACTCGCTCGCTCCATTCATTCACTCCAGTGACTCGCTTGCTCCATTCATTAAGGGGGGGGGGGGCGATAGAACCTCCGGGACCCCGCGAGACAGCCCCAGGATTGGTTGCGGGGCTACAGACCGGCATAGGGGAAATAGCCGGCCATGTGACCCATTTACGTGGGGAGGTAACCCAAGCCCGCGAGCAGGTGACCCAAGTAGACGACAAGGTGACCCAAGTACGCGGGCATATGACCAAGCTGCAGTCTACAGTGGAGACCATCCAGTCCGAGGTGGGGGGACTACGCTCCACGGTAGGGGGACTAGCCGGGCGGGTGTTCCAACTAGAGGCAGAGTTTGGGCAGATGCGTTTCGGGGGGGGGGGCGGGAGGTGGACTGGGCAGGGGGCCTCCTACGGAGCCACCACCCATCCCCGGGTGTGTTACCTGTGCGACCGTTAGTTGCATCTCGTGAGAGACTATCCCCAGATCACCCGTGCTAGACACGCGCCAGGGTTAAATGCCAACGCCCCTTAGAGAATGGACCAACTAGGGTTGCAATCGACGCGGTCCCAACACAAATAGACGATAATAAAAATGGTGAGCGAGTGACCTCCACGCAGATGCCGACAACAACACCCAAGGACGCGGTGACTGTGGGCGACTGGCTGCGAGAGCTGGTGGCGAATATCATGGGGGATACGTCACTGGTGGAAGGGCAGGTAAACGGGCGACGTACCCGGATTCTGTTAGACACGGGGGCAGTAGCCTCGCTCATGAGCGCCGTACACTTCAACATGGTCGGGGTTGACGTGGGCGGCCTACAGGCCCCGGACCGCGCGCTGCACACTGCAAGCGGAGCTGGGATGGGACTGCTGGGGAGGGTCACCCTGGAGGTCCGTCTCGGGCACATGGTGTGTGACCAAGAATTCTACGTGTCGAGTGTGTTGTGCCGTGAGTGTATTGCAGGTACCGACCTCCTGGAAAAGTTGGGGCTCAACATACAGCCCCGCCAGCGATGCGCCACCATGGAAGGCAGCAGGGAGCAGATTCCGTTCCTGGGACAAGAAACAATTCACTCCCGCTTCACACCCGTGGCCGCTACCCTGGTGTTGGCCGTCACCATCGGGCCTCTCGAAGAGATGCTGGTGCCGGTGGCAACACCCTCCACCGACCCCGCACACCGACCATCGGGTGAGGTAATGCTGACTCCTCACCCGGAGTTGGCGACACGGTATGGGGTTGTGGGGTCAGCCACGCTAGTAAATGCAGACAGGGGCCGACTGTTTATGCGGATATTTAACCCCCACAGTACCCCGGCAATGCTGCGATGGCGCACCACGGTAGCCACCATACAACCCCTGCACGCACGCCACTCTAACAACTCGGTGTTTGCCCTCTGGGCTGAGGACCGCTGCCGCCCCGAGGACAACCAGGACATGGCCTGGCGAGTCGGTCTGACTCCCAGGGCAGAGGTCGTCCCCCTGTTTTACGCGCTACATGTACCCTGGGCAGATTTACCCAAGGTGGAGGCCGATCAGCTGCGCGGGTTATTGTGGGAGTACGCCGACGTGTTCATTGAGCACGATTCGGATGTGCGCCGGACAGACCTCGTTAAGCACCAAATTGACACAGGTGCCGCCCGACTCATTGAACTCCCCGCATACCGAGTGGGCGCACCTGAACAGGCCCAGATTAAAGAGGCAGTCGTGGATATGCTCCGTGATGACATAATCCAGCCATCAGTGAGCCCCTGGTCTGCCCCGGTTGTACTGGTGACGAAAAAGGATGGGTCGACCCGGTTTTGTGTTGATTTTCGAAAGTTGAACGCAGTTACCCTCGGCGACACCTTCCCCATTCCCGGCATCGATGACACTTTTGGCAGCCTCGCAGGGGCGCGGTATTTGTCCACCCTCGATCTAGCGTCCGGGTACTGGCAGGGGGAGATGGCGGAGGAGGATCGGCCAAAGACCGCATTTACCACCCCGATGGGACTGTTCGAGTTCCGAGTACTCCTGTTCCGACTCACTAACGCGCCTGTGACCTTCCAGCTGTTGATGGAGTTGGTGATGCGGGGCTTGCAATGGGAACAGTGCCTAATTTACCTGGATGACGTGATAGTGTTCAGTAGGTCCTTGTCTGAGCACTGGTCCAGGTTACAGGAGGTGTTCCAGCGACTACGAGCAGCCCATCTCAAGCTCAAGCCGCGAAAGTGTCATATTGCGCAGCGCGAGGTTGGGTACGTCGGACACCGCGTCAGCGAGGCAGGGGTGCGCACTGACCCGGAAAAAGTACGCACTGTAGTGGAATGGCAACGGCCGAGGAACCTGACGGAAATCAGGTCATTTTTGGGGCTAGCCACTTATTATCTTCGATTTGTGAAGAGATTCAGCGAGATTGCACGCCCCCTCATCCAACTCACTCCCCTAAGAACCCCTATCAGTGGACGGAGGCCTGCCAGATGGCCTTCACCACCCTCAAGGACCACCTCACCCATACCCTCACCCTGGCTTTCCCTGACTTTTCCACCGATTATATTTTGGACACCGACACCTGCAGTAATGGGCTGAGAGCAGTTTTGTCACAGGTGCAGGATGGGACGGAGCGGGTCATCGCATACGGCAGCCAGAGCCTGAGCGGGGCCGAACTGAATTATTGCATGACCCGTCAGGAACTGTATGCCGTGATTTTCGCGTGAAAGCAGTTCCGGCCGTATTTGTACATCACCACGATACACACATCTACGGGACAAACATCGTTCCTAATGATGTTTGGTCATGAGTCTCGCCTACCAGCAGAACTGTTGTTCGGCGTTCCCCCGCCGCAACCGGAGGAAGGGCGCCAGCCCGTGGAGCACCTGATGGGGACCCTGCGAGCGGCCTACCAACAGGGGGAGGCCGCACATCAGCGGCAAGAGCAGGGCGCCCGGCCCCGTGTGGAGCCCCCCTTTACCTCGGCGGGCTCTAAGGTGTGGCTGCACACCCCGCGGATAGGGGCTGGACAGGTGGGGAAGCTGACCACCTACTGGCGCGGACCCTGGACCATGGTGTGTCAGATCTCCCCTTGGACGGTGCTGATCCAGGGCGGGGAGAGGGGCTGAGAGATGGTGGTCAATGTCCGCCGATTAAAACCATGGAGGGCAGCCCCGGCCAGAGAGACCCCCGCCGTACGGGTACCCCGAAACCCCGGGATTCCCGCGCCCCCCATACCCCCATACCCCCACACCCGAGGGCTTTGCACCGTATATGGGCCCCGTGTGTATGAGGAGAGCGTAGGTGTGGTGTGAGTACGTGCGTACGTGTAAAACGCACGTGTATTCAATCATAAACGATCGCTGACGTTTGCGTGAGTGTTTACACAGCGCGTTTTACTCAGTGTGTCCATGTAGCGACGATAGCACTCAGCGGTGGAACGCGCAAATATTATCGTAAAATTTCAGTTACATTTCTGTTAGCCGACCCAACGGGGGGTAGGGAGGGTCGCATACATATTTATACGGCTATTTTTAGCGTGAGCCGTGGTGAGCGGGGGGGTGCGCCCACGCAGGCACGCGCGAGCACGCAGCCACCTCCGCATTAGTGGTGGTGTACGTGGGGGAGTGTGTGGTGTCACTCCAGGCGGTCGGGAGCCAGCCACTAGCCATGTCCGACAGAGAGAACGCGCGGAGGCCGATCACTTGATCGGCGGCAGCCCAGCGAGAAGGGGCGGAGGAGGAGGGGGGAGAGGAGGAGGGGGGTGTTAGCCCCCACAAGTGTGTGGGTGGGTGGATGGCTGGGAATTTTTGGTGGGTGGTGTGTGGGTGGGTGTGTGTGTGGGTGGCTATGTCGGTGGGTGTGTGGTTGGCTAGGTGTGTGTGCGGGTGGCTGGGTGTGTCGATGGGTGTGTGTGTGGGTGGCTATGTGGGTGGGTGTGTGGGTGGCTATGTGGGTGGGTGTGTGGGTGTGCGGGTGTGTGGATGTGTGAGTGTGTGGGTAGATGTGTCGGAGCTGTAGTGTTGCATTTAGAGCAGATATGGGCAAAGTACGGTCCCCGGGCTGTATACGGCCCGTGGGGCTTTTAAATCAGAACCGCCGAACTTGTCAAAATATTATTATTAAATTAAATTTTACCTTCCTCCTGTAATGCCCCCATTTCCCCATTAGATGGCGCACTTTCACCGGGAGTGTGGTGTACAGTAGAACCTCTGGTCACGACCATAATTCGTTCCATAACTTTGGTCGCAACCCGATTTGGTCGTGACTCGAACCTAATTTCCCCATTGGATGGAATGTAAATATGATTAATCCGTTCCAGACACCTACGAACTGCATTTAAATATTGTTTTTTTAAGATTATTAAGCACAAAAATAGCTAAGTACGCCATAGAATTCAGTGTAATAGTAATCTAAATGTCAGTATCATGTCGTCCAGCAGACATCCAGCAGACATTCAGCTACATGAACGCCAACAAAGCCCGTCACCGATCAAAGTTAACGGATCAGCACCTCAGATCTATCCTGAGAATTGCCACAACCAAAATAACTGCAGACTTGGATGCACTGGCAAAAATGGGAGATCAACAACACTGTTCCCACTGAAACTGAAAGTGTTATGTGTTGCTGCAGCGAGGTTGGAGCCAAATCTCCGATACACAGTCTGCGTGGCTGCTCTAACCTGTTAATGTAGATAATAAAGAAGTTCAAGTGAGGTAATTGGTTTGGCGCCGGACTCAGATGTTTTCATGATGTTTGATCAGTCACGTTACGACATGTTTTTGTAGTGTTTATGTTTGTGCAATTTGTTAAATTGCCTTGCAAATAAATGCTTTGCTACCTGTTAAAGGCCAAATCCTTTCATGTAATGATTTTTACATGTCATTTATATTAGTTCACACAAACACTCCATCCACCTGTTCCTGGCCCGGCCCCTCTGTCAAATTTTAGGACCCATTGTGGCCCGCGAGTCAAAAAGTTTGCCCACCCCTGATTTAGAGCATTGCGCTACGAACCCGGCGACCCGAATTCGATTCCCGCTCATGGCCAACACCAGTGACGATAACACTGGTCTACAATTTTTTAGACGTCGTCTGCTTCAGAGATGAAATGTGCTGTTTAGTATGGATTTTGATATGCTGAATTCAAATATAACAATTAAAACTCGGGGAGGCCCAGGACCGGTTCAGTTAATTATCTGAACCGATCCTGGCCCCCCTCCCCTAGGTCGACTCAGCCTCAAATGAGTACCTGGTGCGTTGTGTAAACATCGCCACTGCTGGCCACCTGCCCCCTCGTGCACCATTCCGGCCTTCATAGGTGCTCGCTAACAGCACTTGCCCCTACAGTCTGTTAAGGCTATACGGGGAATCTTTGTCTTTGTGGCCCGGGCCGAGTTGTCGCGCACTTCACCTTGGCTGACGATGGTTCCCCGTGGTTGACCGGAGCCGTGACTTTGGTTCTTATCTGCGGATGTTACAGCCGTCATAAACATCGCACTACCCCTCGGAACCCCCTCCCTCCCTCCCCTCCCCACCCCCCACAACGGACGTTAGAGTTGTCACAGGACGTTCCGCAAGAGTGATAAAAGTTAAGACGAAGTGGTTATCACAAGTTGAGGTGTAATAGCTCGAGTCACGGCCTATGAGATAGAGCTCTATTTGAAGTCCGATTAACGCATTGTAAAAGTAAGAGTAGTTATAATCATAGTATGATTAGGAATTGTATTAGTTGGAATCGTAGTAGGATTAGGAATTGTAGCAATATGAATTGTAGTAGTAGGAATTATAGTAGTCAGAATTGTATTAGTAGGAATCGTAGTAGGATTAGGAATTGTATTAGTGGGAATCGTAGTAGGATTAGGAATTGTAGCAGTATGAATTGTAGTAATAGCAATTGTTGTAGTAAGAATTGTATTCGTAGGAATCGTAGTAGTATGAATCATAGTAGTAGGAATTGTATTAGTAGGAATCGTAGTAGGATTATGAATTGTAGTAGTAGGAATTGTTGTAGTAGGAATTTAACCTTATGGCGGGACCCCGGGGTCCCGAATAAACGGAAGTCAAAATCTTAACTAATTAATTAAT